GCGAGCGCAACATGGACAACTACAGCAGCATGAAGTTGGAGCTTTTGGCACTGCGGTGGGCAATAACCGTAAAATTCCGTGACATTCTGCTGGGAGCCGACTTTGTTGTCTACACGGACAACAACCCCTTGAGCTACCTCCACTCCAATTCCAAACTGGGTGCAGTTGAGACGAGATGGGCCGCCGAATTAGCACAGTTCCGGTTTAGCATCAAGTATAAACCCGGGCGGAACAACAGCAATGCCGATTCTTTGAGCAGAAAGAGAGAGCACGGTGACGAACCAAAATCAGTACGGTTTGAAGAGACCACAGCTGCTGCTGCCATCAGCGAAACCAGTGCTACCAGCATCCCTGTGGTTGTGAGACAATGCATCAGGAGTACCCTACAAGAAGCTGGCTTAAATGAGGTTCGTGCCAAGCCAGCTGTGACAGTTCCCATGGCAACAGCAACACTACCATCTCTGTCACCGGAAGATCTCACCGCACTTCAAAAGAGTGACGACTTCCTTGGACCACTTTGGCTTTTATGGGAGGGACAGAGTAGACCACGACCTGACCAGATTATGAGGGAGGCCAAAGAAGTCCGCAAGCTGTTGAAATTCTGGGATGCTTTGGAGGTGAAAGATGGTGTCCTTTACAAGAGGAGGACAGATGCTGGAGAAATGTGCCATCAGCTTCTTCTACCCTTGGCACTGAGAAACAAGGTACTTGTTGCACTGCATGACGAACTTGGGCATCAGGGTGTTGAGAGAACTACAAAGCTAGTACAGAGGCGATGCTATTGGCCAGGGATGGCCAAGGATATTGAAGCACATTGCCGGGACTGCAACAGATGTATGTTAGCCAAGGCCGGTAGAAAGTTGCATCCTACGATGGGTTCTTTCATCGCTAAAAAGCCACTGGAGGTTCTCGCAATGGACTTCACTGTTCTTGAGCCTGGGACGAACAACATAGAGAATGTGCTCGTCCTGACTGACATCTTCACCAAGTTCACCCAGGCCATCCCATGCAAGGACCAGAAGGCAACAACTGTTGCTCGTGTCCTTGTGCGTGACTGGTTTGTGAAGTTCGGAGTGCCGTGCCGCCTGCATAGCGACCAGGGAAGGAATTTCGAGAGTAGGGTTATCAGCGAGCTGTGCAGCATGTATGGTATCTCCAAAAGTCGCACAACACCTTACCACCCCGAAGGTAACGGCCAATGCGAGCGGTTCAACCGCACTCTCCATGACCGCCTGAGGACACTGCCCCCAGAGAAGAAGCGTCGATGGCCGGAACTTCTGCCCGAGATCATCTATGCGTACAATGCAACACCACATTCATCGACGGGCTACTCCCCCTACTACTTATTCTTCGGGCGTGAACCAAGGCTGCCAATCGACCACCTGCTAGGTACAGACCACCAACCAGAAGATAACGACGATGGGTTGCATCAGTGGGTAGCTGACCACCACGCACGGATGAGCCTGGCATTTCACTTGGCTTCAAGGAAAACTGAGGAAGAGGCTTCGCGAAGGCAGAAGAGGCACAACGAAACAGCCAAGAATGAAGATCTGGACATTGGTACCAGAGTGTTCCTCCGTAACCGCAACATCGAGGGCAGAAATAAAATCCAAGATGCGTGGGACAGCAAACCCTTCAAGGTGATAGGGAGACCTGATCCCACTGGGCACGTCTACACCGTTGCTCCACTCGATGGGGAGGGGAAGGAAAAGACGCTACACCGGAGAGAGCTGCTGCGTGGGACCACCTTGCTGCTGGATGGGAGTAAGACACCGGAACCTGGATACTGTCAAGATGCTCCGGGCTTCGTGGTGCAAGCTGACGAGGATGAGGATACAGACGATGAGCTTCTCATTATACAGCGGCAGGGTACGACACCAGAGGTGCCAGCAGACAAACAGGAGCCAGAGGGACAACCTGCTGCTTCTAAAAAAGCAGGGGAGCATCACCTCAGCGGCCATGCCCAGCCAGCGCCAAATCCCGAAGTGGAGCACACCCCTTCAGAGCATGCTCCCACTGAGGAACATCCTACAGATTTGCTAGCTTGCCATACCAGTGCCACTCCGGATGATTCTACTCCCGGTGACGACGACTTCAGCAGCAACGCAGATGAGCAGCCAGTACCAGTTCGCCGGACAAGCCGCACAGGGGCAGGTCAGCATGCCAACCCTCATCACCTGCCAAGATCTGCTGTCCAGTGCGAGATACCTGCAGCACCTGTTACAGCACCAAGTGTCGACCCCCAAGTCCTGGCAGACATTAGTCGTACACAGCTGCTGCTAGTGCAGATGTTGGCCGGAGTCCAACCAAGATGATTTGGGACTCTATGACGTATTCTTCCTTGTATAATTTTTCTGTTAAACTTAAGGCTCGTTACAACGTATGATTACAAGAGGTTGTCGAGGCGCCAACCTTTAAGCAGGGGAGTATGTGACAGGTCATTTACATATAGCTCTTGTGCAGCGCCCTCGTTTGATAGCTATGCTTGTTCAACATTTTTGCCAGTTTCCTAAGGAAAAACTGCTCATTTTCTCCGCCAGTAAATAGAAAAAAAGCACTAAAAAAAAAAAAAAAAAGAACCGGGCGCCCCCTTTTGGTCTGTTGCCATGGGCGCCACATCTTGTCTTTACAGGTAGGACTACAAATACGCGCTCATAAAACATGCAAAATCAGATCAGTAGCGCTGCCTGTCAACTCTCCAGAAGAGGTTGGCCTCCGTTTTTTCACTGGAAATTCAAGATTATGGCCAGAAGAGCGCTGTTTGTTTCAATATTATGGGGGTTAGCCACGGACGTATGTAAAAAAACCTGGACTTGCAACGCTTTTGAATAAAAAAGAAGCCAACCAGCGGCCATTTTACTGAGCCGAATACAAAACCGTGGGTTGGCTCCCCTCTATTGACGTCAGGAAGAACAAAGGCGGGCATTGCCAGGAAAGCTATTTGGTATTCGGCTCGGTAAAATGGCCGTGAGTGGATTCAATGACTCTATAAGCTGGTTAAGGGCATTGCGAGTCCAGATTTTGTTATACACGTCCGTGGGGTAAGCAACGGATTTTGTTTATCCACCTTTTCCCGAAGATACCCCCCCCCCAAAATAGAGCCCGCAAGTTGACCCCTGATGGCGCGCATCCGGAACCCGTGAACAGGAAAAATAACGTGCAAAGATTTTAGGATTTGTAATTTTTTTTTCGTTCAGTTTCCTTTTTTTGAAAATCAACTTTGAAAAAGGGCTTTGAAAAATATTTGCTAGTATATCAATTTATAGAAACTGAAAAATTACCTGAACTAAAAGAGAAATATCCTGCCAAAAATTGACCCATCACTTCCGAAAATCTAAAATACATGAAAAAAGTGCAATACGGGACCCTCGTACGCAGATGAATATTTACGGCTTGAGATTTTATGGTAGTGTGTGGGTAAGACCAAAATAAAAACATCAAAATATTGTTCATACGTCGATAACTTAAAAGGTAATAAACGAAAAGCATTATTCTACTTTTACGAAGGATTCTAATATTTTATCTAACCTTTTCTGAACAGCTGCGTGACGTCAACTCAATGTAATCTGGAACCCATCGACTGCAGGAAGGCAAATCTTTGCAAGGTTGTACAATCTCGTTTTCAAGAAGGCACGGCGAGTGCAAACACACATGCGTGAATATGTAGACCTACAATCCTGCACAAAATAGTTGAAAACCTTGTGGGAAGGGCGTTGACAAGACCCCCCCCCCTTCAATGTTGCGATAATTTATTGGACCAAGATTCGGCCCAACCTACCATTAATGAGAATCAACCTTGACAGGGGGCGCCGGGCAAGCGGGAGGCATGTTCCAACGAGATTTGTCCAGGATTGTAGGTTCACTTTTCTGCTCTTCGGAAAAGTTACCTCTTCTTTTCAAATCGAATCTGCATGGACAAGATGGAAGGGTTGACAGATTTTGTGCTTTGTTATTAACCAACATGTTGAAACCTATTGGAGGCACTAATTTTTCCCTGGAGGGTATACAGAAGGTCGAGATCTAGAGTAGCTCTACATTGGGGAAAAATGAGATTTCTGATATCCACTTTTGATTTGGATTTTTTGGGATTTGAGACTTTTAGACTCAAAGTTAGACTCTGCGAGTTACTTATATTACGCTTTAGAGAGTTTGTCAAGTAACCCCCTCCCCCACTTTTGCGCCCTACAGAAAACGAACAATTTACATTTTTACTTTTTGATGAATGGCCCCGATTATGGATAGCAAATATGAAACAACATTGCTAAATGAAGCCTTCCATATTTTTGTCTGTTTTTGCACTTATTAAACTTTCTTTTCAACAAAACAAAGTTATGAATAAGAATGAAAGAGCGTTGGACATATGATTTATTTGACGGACATCGCCGATTATAACCTACGGTACATGCTCTACCACACATTTTTCCGTTGTAAAAACTTGCATGTACTACAAACCATTTCAGGAAACTATTTTTAATGCACCTCTCCTGCAGTATTTGTGTTTTAAACATCGAAGCCTCATTTAATTTTAATATTCAAGGATCTATTCTAACACTCAAATTACACACTTTCATTTCGTAAAACGTTGATAAAAACAAATACATGTAATTACTAATCAAATGAAGTACAACCCCAAGGTACACAACCACAACATTTAAGTTTGTCTGAGAGGTTCGGTTATTTGTATTCTCAATTTTTGTTACAAATGTAGACAGATAATTGCATGATATAATTACACCAGTCACTTTCTTTTCATGAGAAATGCTTTGATATCAACACAAGTTTATTCGTGTTTTCTCTAACCAAAATTACATCACAAAGAAACGGAAATGACTCTTTTAAAATATAAAATTACTTGCTACATTAAATTTGCCAGCAATTTACATGACAGAGATTATACTGTATGGCTGACTGTTTAGAACAATTTTGAGTTTAACCAAAAAAAAGATATTCTTCAAGCTATGATCTTAAACAGAAAACATTCATGGAGACCTGGGAGAAACCAAACACAAAGCAGAATTTGAGTTAAAAAGATTGGACCATGATTTTGAGAAACAAAATCTTTCAAAAATTTGAAGGTATTGTTAAATCTCGCATTTTAAAACAGCGTAGTTGCAAATTTCAAATACATTTCCTAAAATCTAATGAAATCTTACAGACTTGCATCCTTTTCACCTTGAATAAAATTCTATGGACCTCACCTGTCTTACACCTTCCAAATGAACTTTTCCAGATATAAATTGTTTTGAGGCTCACATGGAATTGTATAGATGGAACATGTTCAAGATTAAAACCAAGTTTAACAGATGTAACATGTTCTTAAGATTGGAATACATTTTCAAAGCTGTGGCTTTTGAGATGGCTTATGCATTTCATCCGAAGTCTCGTTTAGTCCAAATTTGAAAGCCTCCAATCTCATTGATGGTAATGATGATTCGGCTGTTTGCTAAACACATTCCAGACTAGTTTATGTTACCATATGTGAATGAATTTTTTTACTCCAATTCTACTTCATACCGAAACCACAAAGTGCACAGTATTTGATATAATTTTGTGCAACTCATATTGTAAATACAGTTACAAAATCCTACGTTTAGGCCATAGCTGGCCCAACTTAGAAAAATCACACAGAACCTATATCTCTTTATTTGGAACATTAACAATAATGGTAATTTAAACAAACAACACAAAACCAAAGCACAAAAGCCAAAGGTGCTAATCCATGTCTAAGTTTTGTGTATACTGTCCCATTCATATATTTACTGTTTTTGCACCTGGTCAGTTTGAAAAAAAGGCTTACACTGTATAATAAGAGACTTTGTTTTTCTTTTCTGTTTTTTTTAGGGGGGGCATTCACAGATACACCGTCCAATTCACCCATTCCTACTGGTTGACGTCCAGGGTATAAAAGTTGTGTACAAAACGATCACAAATTTGGTTCCAATTTGTTCTTGGTTTACCTTGTTGAAGGAACTAATTTTTCACGTTTACAAATTCTTCGTGGCCTTATCTATCCATGGGTGGGGAGGTTAGGAATTTCAGAACAAACCATGCACTGCAAAATCGAGGAAAATAAGTGACAGACGTTGTATAAAGTACACGCACGTACAGGAATCTGAGCTGCGTGCACACACTACATGTGCGCAATTTCCATTGAAGGTCTGTTGCATGCCTGCTACACACTTCAGTATTTGTCGAATCGGGTGCTTCAGACTGACCAATTAACCCCCTATTGGTTACCCTTAAAATGATCATATTTTGTTCTGCTTTATACCTAAGTTAGCGTAGAAGTCTTTGTATATATGCAGGGTTCTTGTACGGGAATAAATTCACCAACAATCTCTCTTTAAAGTGTTTAACTTGTTTAATTTGTTTGTAGAGATTTGTTGGTTAAAGATTTTTCCCATACTGGCTGCAGTAGACTCAGCTTGCGTGCACATACCGGTAACAAGGCCAACCGTCACCATGATCAATGCACGCCACAGTTTCACCCCCCGGCCAGCTCAATGTAGTGTGTACACGGCACGGAGAGGTCAATGGTATCCGTGGCTGAGAACCACGTTGCGTGCTACGTGCTTTTGTGAGCGTTTTCGAAACGAGCGGATTCGGTTAGAGAATATGGAAGGGCTGCGTAGCATTGTGATCAGAATATCGACAAGAATATAAGATTAAATCAGTACTCTGAAATACATGGCAATCGTATATTTCAGAGCACTGATTTAATCTTATATTCTGGTGGATTTGGTTAGACGCTGGTTCCAGTCATGTAGTTTCGATGTGCGTGTAATACGCAGAATAGTTGCGCGCGCACACTGTACGAACTGCATGCACTGGAGAAAGACTGAAAACAGTCCACGACAATAGCAAGAATTAAACTTCTGATTTATTTTCCAATTTTTTTCTTTGGCGGTGATAAGTCGAATTTTCTTATCCCACCAGCTGTGGAGATAAGGACGCATAGGAGTTAAAGACGTGAAGTTGGCTCCTTGGAAAAGGTAGAAGCATTGGAAATTTTAGTTTCAAAACTTTTCGCCCGATTTTGCACCCTTCATCCTGGACTCCCTCCGTAACGTAATACGGTCAGGGATTCAACCTGGGTTACATGTCATCCCCAGGCATGTTGCTGGTTGAAAAACGCACAACTTGAACATTGCCCCATCATGCTTTCATTCCCTATAAACTAGTCCATAGACACACAAGAATAGCATTGTTGTGTTTGTAAGACCTTTAAATTATAATTGTTGCTCTTCTACTTTAATATATTTCTTCTTGGCTTTACATATTTGTGATTTTCACCCTAGAGAATACAACCAACAGAAATTTGGTATTTCTTCTAACAAAAGTTGCTTTCTTTCAAAAGTAGTCAAAATATACATTGAAGAATTTCTGTCCAGAGTTAAACACACATTGTACGATTTTGTTTTTAAAAATCTAATGTAATACACTTGGAACGTTTTTATGGTGTCTTTATTCTGCAGTCCAATTAAACTAGTTGTCTTGAAGAGATGACAGACAATTTTTCAACTGCTGAACCTGGGCCTGTAGATAAACATATGCAATCTCTATTATACATGTATTTATTGGTCGAAAAGACAGCTATAAGCCAAATACAAGAGGTAACTAAAAACGGCTACAAAAAGGACGAGGGAAATCAAATCTAAAAAGATAATTCAAAGTCTTTGTGTAGTGTCTGCCTATTCCAGCATAGCTGGTCTGCCCCGATTCTAGATTAAGTAAAACTTTGGTGGCAATCCATATTTTGCTATATGACACAAAACACATGCACTACACGCTGTTCAGTAACACAAGCACAGAACACAAGGCACACATCATATGCACAAGCAACAGATCACTGTAGACAGTTTTTCTTTCTGTCACTAGTAGCTCGACCATTTTAACAAAACGACAAGCCCAACACCTTATTAATGCCAATGCCTATTCTATCATTTGAAAGACAATTCAAGATTGTCTTACTCAAAATGGATGTTCTAAAGTGACATTTGAAAAGTCCTACTTCTGGTTCAATAATGTTATCAGGTTCAAACTTCACACGATTAAAGAAAACTTTTGCCACAGACCAACTGAAGCATGTGAATTTGTGTACACTCTTCAACCTGTCGTTTAAGGGGGGGCTGGAGTATTTTATGACGTCACTGGTATAAGGATTAATAATACCCTAACCATCCCCAATACTTCAAAATCCTCCAGGCAGTTTGGGAAGATTTTGGAGGATAGAGGCTGGACAGCAAAATTGCATTGCTGATTGCAAAGGATGCACTGTCTCAAGGCTGTGGGTCAGATCTTGTGTTGTTTATGTTCAGCTATATATAAATTCATGATCATATTTATGTGGATTTGTTTTACCTTTGCATGTTTCAGTTCAAGTTCAGCTAGTTCAACAAGATGCTTTCTGTACGCAGTCACTCTTCTTGTTTTGAAATCAGACAACTCAGTTTTAGCAACCTGTAAAATAATTCAAATAAAAGACATATTATTAATATCAAACAAATTTTATCACTACTTGAAATACCAGAGGTAGTAGTATTTGTAACTGAACAACCCAAAAATCCCCAAATTGTATACATCTAAAATGATTGAGATCAACAAGATTTGTCTTGTTTTAGCCACTGAAACCTTTGACCCTTGACCTTTCAGGTTTTAATACAACATGCTTGAATTATCTACAAAATGCACAAGCCACATTTAAAGTTCCTATGCAAAGTATTTCTCAGGTTATGACACTCACGTACATCGCTATTATTTTAGTCACTTTGACCTGTCAACCCTACATGCAATAGAATGATGAAGACGAATCTATTTCAAGATGTATTTTGTGTTGGGGAGGTGTAAATTTTCAATAACATGTTTTTGCCCTTACACTGATGTGTATATGTATTTAACACTGGATACTCGGTGTTTGTCCGACAGCCTGTGAAAAAATTCACAAGCTCACTCAGGTGGAACGTCAACCCACAACCTCCTGCTCAGAGTCAGACGTAGCAGCAGGTACTGCAAACTATTACTATTACTGACTGTGTAATTTCTAAGGTCAATCACTTGCGTACTATTTCCAACAACGCATCAGTAATTATCATGGGTGATTTCAACAATCTGGCTACTGGCATGCTCAAGCAGCAAACCTTACTAAAGCAAGTTGTAAATCAAGCAATTTTTAGGAGATGCAGTACTTGAAACCGGTTTAAAGCAATGACAACTATAAACTGTAGTTGCTGCCCCTATCACCATAAGCGATCTTGCTCTCGTAATGTATGGACCAAAAATGTCTTCCAATCAAAAAATTTCCCAGTGTCATTTAGATCCTTTCAGGACTCATCTATTTATAGTTTTGGACAGTGGAAAACACATGGATTGGTTGAACTTGTATGAAGTGAATGACCCTAACAATATGGTTGCACACTATCACCAAACCCCTAGTATAAATTATGGAGGGCACTTTGTATATAAAGTTACAGTTAAACTGAAACTTAATGGTAAACCATAGTTTAACAGTGAAATACGCAAATTAATCGAACAATGTGATGTTGCACTTAAACAGTGTCGTGATAATTATAAACCATTCATGGTAAAATGCAAAGAATGATCAAATTAACCAAAAATCAAATTTTAAAATCACAAGATTGCTCACTTGATACAAAACCCCGAAAACTGCACCAGCAGATTTGTCATTTAGTGGGACTCAAAAACAAGCTCTTGTGCTTAATTTCAACAATGAAAATGATAAACAATAGCCACTAATTGAGATAAACAAAATCACTTTTCAACAGTATGTTCTGATCTTCCATCTCTTTGTGTTCCTGTCTTACCTGCACCTATAACACTACTTGTCGGGTCTATAAAAACACATATTCCATCTAGTGAAGCCACACACCCTAATGACTGTCCGCTCAGATTACTAAAAAGATTTGCCTACGAAATATTGGAACCATTATCTCGAAGTCTCAGTGCATGTCTTAACCACTTCCTGCCAGGGTGCCTGGTTTCGGACAAAAGAGCTGGTCTGTGTAACAAAAGACCTTAATCGGAACAAGAGACCTGCTGCTTGGAATTGCTATCATTTTTCGGCTTGTTTTTTTTTAAGGTAATCCGTCACTGTTTTTAAACAGCATACCACTGTTTCGGACATAGCGCGCCCATGGATTAGTACCACGGACAAAAGTGCTCCAGGGCCCCATTGATGAGCGACACAACACGGCTGCATGCTAATCCCACCACGTTTGAAAAGACGCCACTCGCATTCACTGGGGACAAAGGAAATTACACAACACCTAACAATTCTGGGCTCTCTTTACAGGGCGGCAGGCCTGGCTGAAATACTCAGGAGTCAATGAAGGCTGCCTGTCAGCTTAGAGTAGCCACCAAACAGTCATTCGTGTGGGTGTAAATGTCCATTGAATGAAATGATGAATTTTTGAAGAATTTTGAAAACTGAAAATCTTAAAAATCACCCGTATGTGCGCACTGCATTTTTGAAAGCACCCGGCAGCAAGTGGTTAAGTTACACTCCCACTTTTTTATTTTGCACTCCCAACTTTCCACAGTCCTAGCTAAAACCCAGGAACCTAAAATTGCATGGAATTACCTTGCAACTTCACCTTTTTATTTCCAAGTTCTTAGTATGAAATAAAACACAGTTAAATCTTGATAATTCAAACCTCGGGGAATGGCTTAAAAATTGAGTTACTCAAATTTCAAGCATGTCAAAGTACCCATGTCATGGAGTCACATCAGCCCTGCACAAGACATACATAACATATATGTTTTGTTATGTATATATCATATACATAACAAAATCAACTCACTCCATTGGGGGTACCTTTTTGTGGTAAGTTTTTTTCTCTTTGTAAATCCTAATGGTGCACAGTTTTGCTCAAAAATTATTGTTTTCTAAAAGTTTAATTTCTATTGAGAAATAAAAACACTTGAACAATGTACAATCATGTGGAAAAATTTCTTATCATTTGGTCTACAACTGTAATAGCACAACGCATAGTGCATAGTCAGGACTTGTTTTCACTTGGGTTTTTTTAAGCGCATTCCCAGGAGCTTTCCTCCTGCAGTCAAATGGCAGCTGCAGAGTCAGCAACTCGTCTGCCAGCATGCAGCCTACAATTGGTTCCCTGGTGGCAATCAAGCTAGACCAGGATTTGTTGCAGTTACAAGTTGGTTTGGTTCATGTAGTGTGCATACAATTGATCCCGGTGTGAAAAGCCTGAGGTGCACTCTGATAAAAACATGCTAGCCTACGGTCTGTTGAACATGCAGTGTGTCATGACTTGTCCTTTTTATAGATTCATCTGTGATCTACATGTACATGTAGATATCAGGAAATTGTCTTACAATTTATTGGCAAGTAAGCAAAAGAAAAGGGTGCTTGCCCTTCTGAAATGTTTCGACATTTACAGGGGCAGTTTTGAGGAATGAAATGGACAAAATACAACCACATTGCCAGTACCCGAGTATGTGTCATGGCCTGAAACTATTGAATTTAAAAAATCATTTGGCACTCTATTTTTATATGGAAAAAACAGCATTCTTGCCCAAGGAGATAAAGAAAATATTTTACTTATACCTTGAGGTTGCAAGTGCACTGAAATACTATCTCCTAACATTAAAGGAGGAGGGACCTTTCAAATGGCAGGTACTTCAATTTTTTTCAAGGCCAATTACTGATTAAAAAATCATGGCCAGACCAAGAGATATTTACTGTGTCTGCTTTTATAATCAATCACCTTGACCCCTGATAAATGGGTTCAAAATCAATAGGCTGCAACAGGAAACCAAGTCTAATACACATACAGAGTTTCATGTTGATGTACATGCAAGGTCCTCAGGGTGCATTCCACCAAATGGCTGTATTCTGCCCTGAGCTCAAAAATATTTTGTGATCCCATGGGGTTTTCACAATAAGACACAATCAGGAGGGATTATAGAAATATTTCTATAAATCCTGAATTTGGGACTGATACATGTAGTTTCCAGTTTGGGGTATTTCTTTCACAAAAAAACCTAAATTGTGGGTCTATTTTGGATAGAGGTGGGTGGCTACATTCAGAGCTGAGCACACAGTTTTGCTACTATTTTGGGGGTGTCCTTGGGGAAAGGCGAATTAAAAAATAATTTGTGGTTAAACCCCATAAAACTAAAGTGGAAAATGATCTGCTGGCCATCTTGAATTTCCAGTTAAAAAAACCAGAGGCCAACCTCTTCCTGAGAGTTGACAGGTAGTTTCGGTCCGATTTTGCACTGTTTTCTAAGGGCGCATAATGCTCTGACCTTTGACCTATAATCTAAAATCGGTAGGATTCCAGAGGACACCAAGTCCAACTCAACTTTCAAATTCGAAGGTATGTGGGGGGACGTCATTGCACCATGAAATGCATTCGCTACATGAGCTCGCATGCAGGATTTGTTACACAATTACAAAACCAAATTATAATGTCTTTTCTGGAATCGTCTGGATACAGATGGCTCATGTAGGCCTACGTATTTGAATGGAACATGAACAAAATAACCCCTGTAGATATCAAATAATGTGGAAATTGTAAACATGATTTTTCTTGTTTTTAAATGATTTTACACATCCTCATTTTACTAATGGATGAGGCTCATAGACTGCCACATGCACTTGGCATTCTGACCCCTTCCCCCTGGCTTGCATCTATATGGACATACGTAATGTAAATGTAGCTGTACGGTCAATACACATGTTGAACAACACTTATTGAGAGAGCAGAATCATTCTGTGTATGTGGAATAACTTTTGTAGCCACAAGTAGATCTCCGTCTATCCGACAAATACAAATTTTCCTCTCAATGCAGTACTGGCAGGGGTTACATGCACAGGGACACACAAGGCAAATGTAGGTTGCCTCTTTAGCTCCTTCAGTGGGACATTTAATAAACCCAGTTCCCAGAGGCACAATTTAGAAAATACCAATTTCAATGATCAAATTGATGCCTCTTGCAATAGCTGGCAGGCCGATGAAAAATGGGGACCTCATGAGGACCAAAATGGAATCATAACTTTGTGAAGAACTTTGTTAAAGTTATTATTTCTAACTGTAAAAATGGGAAGGTTAATGTCAGGAGAATAGTTTTACCAAGTGCATATGTAAAGAAATATTGTTACGGTTAATTTACATGTATGATATTAAAAAGATGCAGTCACACTGTTGCAATGACATTTTCTTACCTCTGATAGTTTTTCAAACTTATCACATGACTCTTGTTGTTTCATCTCAGCCTGATGTACATCCTTATTTTTGGCTCGTGCTTTTTCCAATGCCTTATTTGCAGACTGGTAGTCAACAAGTGCACGCATCCTGCGGTACAGCAAGTCCTGCACACAAAAAGTATATCATTACGTTCATAAGAGAAAACTTGAAGGGTCCATGATGTGAATTTTACTGCAGAACATGTTTTCTTTTCCTCTTGAATGTAAAAACATCTGAAAATCTCTTTTGTTTAAGTATGAGTTATTGTTTGTACCGGTATATTTGCTAGAGTGGAGGTTGGACTGCGAGAGGGTATGGTTTGGATCTCACAAGACGTCCTGTAAGAGGCTTTAATTTGTGACATTTTGCCAGATCCAGGCCAAACATGGGAGCTGAATTGGGGAGTTTTATCCTATCTAAGGCATTGATGTATTTTGCTCTGGCCTCAAGTGCTTCCTGAAAGTTGCTTCCTGAAAGAGGTTTAGCTCCATCAGGGGAGAATTTCAAGATGCTTTCTAGCCCCATCAGATAGGAGGAAGAGGGCATCCAAAATATTGTTCCAGTTGCAGAAGTCGATATTACAATTTAGTTTAGTGAGTTTTGCACATGTAATAAAAATTACATTGTTCTTGTACAAAAAGCAATATAATACACACAGAATAATCATTTGAAAGAAAATACACACAGCTTTATCTTCATTGTACCATTAAGGCGGTTGCTCAACAACTGACTGATCACATGACTAGCTCATGTGACATGAGCTGTTTCAGTTGGCATATGGGCCTTGGGCTTGACCAAGAGAGGGCACACTTTTCCTATCAACTGTGACTCCGCTTGCGGTTCTTTACTACATTTCGCTGGTTAACGAAGGTGTTTCATCACTGATTTACTGCATGGCATACCAGGTAATGTGAAAAGACTATTCCTGAATGTTTTTGTGCACAAGGGCTTCTGGTAACAGCGAGGCGGAAACTAGGCTGTTGAGTATTGAGTTTGGGAGGAGCTAAAAACTTTTGACTATTGAATTAATGAGAAAGAACGTGAATAATCATGAGGTGAGAAACACATGGCGGATTTTGTGAAATAAAACATGAAGACAACAAAGCTGAGGAGCCGCAGAAGGGAAAGTTGCATCTGAATCAAAACACGTTTACAATGTCAATCAGAGGCGGTAATTAAAGCTTTATCTAATTGAAATGAAAAGAAGCAGACGTGCATACTTTCAGACTGGGTTTAATTCTATTTTGAAATAGGGCAAGGTAAAAAATCCCAGGAATTAATTATTAAATATAACTTATCAATCAGAACTGTTGACAGATAAACAAAACTCGTGTTACTTTTTGCTCTTTCCATTTCCAGCCAAGTTCGAAAACTGAAAATTACAATTTACATGAATACAAATTCACATACACATCCGTTATACATAAGTCTTTTGGCATACTGGTACTATGAATAAGCATTGAGTACATGTTTATGATTTTCATAAAAATATAAATTAATCCTTTTTGTTTTAATTTCATGAAGTGGAAAGTTACATGAATAAAACTAACCACACTTTCTCATAATGCAATTGAAAATGGGTACTTTATTGAAATTGATTTTACAGAAAAAGGAACTTCAAGATTTGTGTCAAAAGCGACATGCACCTGTGTAGCAGGATTACCTGGCCTGTGTAAACATGTAAGTGCCCTGCTGTATTATGTAAACACTACCTCCAGAGAAGTTGAATTAGTCCTCCTTGACAAGACCATCAACATGGCAAGAGCCATCCAAGGTGGCCAGCTCACTGTATGGAAAAGTACAAATCTCAAAACCGTTTCCAGAAAAAATCTCATGGAAACCAACTAATTTTGGTAAGCTCTTGCCCAAAATTGCAAGTTTCAATGGTCCCCTTACATTAACAGTGCGGGAAGAGTCACAAAATCACAACCAAATTTCTGAACGACGATGCAAATGCCTAATTGAGGAGTTAATTATAAATGCAGTAAATTCTGCAGAAAGGCAAGCAACAACAAAAGCAACTAACCTCATTGCCAGCCTCAAAAAGGAATCTACAGTAAAACAGAAATTGAAAGTCACCATGCTAAATTAAACAATGAAATGAAGCTCCACTACAAGACAATTGATGAGCCGAGCTACAAATGCACAACAGATTTGTAGGAAGAAACTTAATACAGCATCAACTAACTATGGTGCAAAAATGGAAAGTGAGGCTCGGTTGCAATATGAAAAGATATCAGGAGAGTGTGTCACAAATGTTGGTGTATTTCTTCATCCATCACAACCATGGCTGTGTACATCACCAGATGCTATCATCACAGACAACAATGAACTAAAGTTAATTGAACTTAAATGTCCTTATTCTTGCAAAGATTCAGAGATGTAATCTGATTCTTGCAAAGATTCAGAGATGTAATCTGGGAAACTAAAAAAATCGAATGTTCCAAATCTCAACTTTGATGAACATGGACAAATAGGCTTTTAAAAAATTACAAGTTTACTATATCCAAACTCAGGTAACAATTTATGTCATAGGAGTTATAAAAAATGCATTCTGTTTGTGTAGTCTCCAAAACAATCGGTCACTGCAAATGTGCCATACAATCCTACTTTCATCCAGACATCAATTTCTAAGGTACAGAATTCCTATTTTGAATATTTTCTCCAAGAATTGTTGACAGGGCGTTCTCCTGAAGAGACAGCACCAGTGTCAAGTACTCTTCAAGATCTTTGTCAAATCTGCAGAAAATACACATATGTAAGTGATAACAAATTCATTTATTATCATTGTAATTGCCTCTCTTACTTTCTGTGCAACACAACTTTCTGAATTGGTCTCAGAAAAATTAACATAGGTAATCAAAAAATTAGGGGTGCATATTTTATGCAATAACTGTGAATTTTAGACAGAAAAACATCTTCATTTAAACTAAAGTTTGAAAATGTTAATTAAAAAAACATGGACTGTGCAGTGTGCAAGTAAACAACTTTACTTGATAAATGTTCATTTCTTTATCACAGAACTCTGCAGGTTTGCCGACACATGTGTACAACATCATTTACATATGCTAGCAGTTCATGAGGAAAAGTTACATTTAGAATATTAAAGATTCTAAACCTTTGTATGCCCCTTTCTAGATGTACTCTCACAGAGGATAATTTATATGCAGACTCATGTCCTTTCCCTAAAACTGTTGGTGAAATGTGGCAAATGGGTGCATGACAACAATTGCCTCTCTTCCAGCAACCTGTGTCTTGATTTCTGGAAATACTTCATCTGCTTTGATTACATCCCCTGGCTCTAGTAAATCCGAAATACCAGACTCTATTGTGACTTGATTGTCTGTTGTTCTTTCTAAAAGTCTTGGACAAGAAAGAAATCAATCCGGCAATCAATCAACGGAGAAATACAAACCAATACTTTACAAATGTACGTTCCTTTCTAATGAAAATATATCAGCACCTGTCCCTTCACAGTTGATGGTTTCTCAGTTTGAAATTCAAAACAATCTATAGCACACTTGACATTTGGGTACTAAGAAAAGGCAGATGGCAACAAAGACTGGACTGTTGCTGATGATGGCCAAATGAAAAATGATCCAGTCAAAAGTTGATCTCGACAGATTTTCCAGCACAAAATGAAAAGCTCTTGAAGCTGTTGTTCTGAATACTGAAAAAAATACTCCTAAACATTTAAATGGCGAACCAAATCCCACTTTCATAGGAAACAACAGTAGACAATTCTCTAAACTCATACCCCTTGACTTTGTTGGAAGCAGTAAGAGGAGGAGAAACACAATCAGCTGCACACCTGTCAGGTTGTGGATTTTGTCTTAAGCTGCATCTGTGCCATCCTACGTATGAAATCCATGTGTGCACTTGAGGTTTCCCAACACTGTATTTGGTTCCATGCACTGGCCTTTTAGCTCTGTGTGTCCAATGCAGGGTTCTTTGTAGAAAGATGTCTAGGTACTAGCCTCGGCGCCAGTCATGTACACATAGTATGGACAGCAGTATACAATGTATGCATGAGCTGTCTGTGCACTTGCATTTTGTCTGATTTCTGTTTGGGATCAGCTGACGTGAGATGTAGTTGTGATCAGCAGATCATCCTAGACTCTGTTTAGGTACACTTATATTTGTTGATTTCCTTACTGCAGTCACCACCTGTGTTCAGGGTGAGTTCGATACACTTCTTCCCATCCTCAAAGTGGCAAGCAGTTTCCATGGGGAGCCGTCATGCCTGCACATGTATTTCATAAAATAAAAACAAAATTAAAGGGGAATTTTAGAAAGTGTGTGAGAAATGATGACCGAATGCCTAATGTCAACAGGGGTTTTTAAGTTGGATTGAAAATGCCAACAACTTGATAATTAAAGGTTGATCGACCGATCACGCAAAAATCATGCAATCATCAGTAGTGGCATCCATCAGAACTCAGAAACTGTCCTAAACTTACATGTACATTGTGTATATGTAATGTATCAACATCACTGCTGACCCCCAAAATTTCATTACTTTTAAAAGAAAAACACAACATAAAAAAAAAATGAGTTCCAAATGTAAGTTGTAGGCACTGTATATAATACCATTTTTATCAGGTCACATGTTTGTGCTTTCTGATTACTGAAGTGAAAGGAAGAATTACTGGTGGCCGTAGGCCTATATTACGGAACTTAGGCCTAGGCCTAATGTACCCCCAAAACTTTGGGTCCGACATCCGCCCTGCTCCGAATGTGGCAGCAGGTCGGACTTCAAACCCCAAAGTTCTGGGGGTAGGCTAGGCCTATATGGAACTTTTCCCGCTTAAGTAATAATACTAAAGCCGAGGCTGCTACTAACCTGTGATGACCCAACCTTCCCAACACAGTGATCCATAGTTGCAATCACCTACTTGACTTCAAAAGAAATGGAAAAATGTACCTCTTGGACAAGTTTTTCTATAATGAGAACACCCACGCAGGACACTTTTTGCTTCGTTCGCCATAAACATGATGATGATGAGTCAGCCATTTTCTCGCCTTCTTCAAAGCTGTACCATTTGAATGGAAGACCTTGGTTAGATAGCCTAGACCCTGTGAATGTATGCACGGACACTAAAATTTTTAAAGAACTCAAACTTAGTACATGTACTTCAGCATTGCACAAGGCAAGGTATATATGCATACTAGTGTCGTGCAGCACATCACGTCAACTCGCATGCATTACCAAACAAGATGGCAATCGATTGAGTACTGTGGACCATTGAGGGGGTACTTCTAGTCGAGGCGGACAACATCACGATTGGATGGAAACAGCTCTCACTTGTATTCAGAATATTTGGCGAAATATGAAGGTAAAGTTTCCATCTTATCTTGGTTTTTCTTGATTTAAGTGCTGCATTTGACACGCTCGATCATGCTATTTTGCTTCAACGGTTAAAGTTGCATGTTGGTGTTTCACAAAGCACGCTTAATTGGTTTCCTTCTTAACTTTAATAGTGATCATTTTCAAAGAATTCTTATTCAAAGCTCTTGTCCGATTGTTAGAAAGGAGTCAATTGTGGATCAGTGAGTGACACTTATTCACTAAAGTATGGTGTCCCTCAGGGTTCTGTGCTGCAGTTGTTTAATGTGTACATGTACATGTATATGTTGCCTCTACAATGAAGCAAGATATGGGACAGAGAGCACCAACCCTCCATCTTTGTGTTGATCATTGTTTGATCAGAATCTCAGGAATTCTTTACAGACATCTGTGTGTTAGGCAACAATAGTCTAAAGTGGGTATAGCTTGGACATGTAAGAGGGATACCCCTCAGTCCCATATCTTGCTGGGCATACCACAATCCTGGACAAATCTCGTTGGGCTTCCATCCCCAAGACCCCCTTTAAATGTTGGGTCTATTCATCATGCTTGCACAAGAAATGCTAACCTTTACTTGTCCAAACACACTATTGTAATGCAAAAACATGAACACAAACTTATTACGTCCCGTTTATTTCCCAAAAGTAAAAATACATGTACGAGGCTTTCCAAAAGTTATCTTATTTTTAAAATTTGCCTTAAATGTCACATATTGGCACCCTTTTTAATGGAAATAACCATGTAGAAAACCCCCTTTGTTTACATGTCATCTGGTGCGATGTGGTACCAGGTAATTGTCAGTCAAAGCCAAGGGTAGAAAAAACCATT